CGTATGACAGAATGCTTGCATTTTGAATACTCATATTACATAAGTCGTTTATGTAAATGAGGAAGAGCGTCGGACCCAGGATGCTCCCCTGTGGTACACCGTAGGCTACTCCAGTTGTACCACTCACATATTCGCCCACCTTTACCTTTTGCATCCTGCCATACAGATAGTCCTTAAATAAGCTTAATGATTTACCCCTGATTCCCACCTTCTCCAGTTTTTGAACAAGGATGGGGATAGAAACGGTGTCGAAAGCCTTTTTTAAATCTAAGAATACTGCGAGACATTTGCGTTTTCTGTCCAGATGTTCAGTTACAATGGAAGTTAGTGACTCGATGGCATCAGCAGTAGATTTGCCAGCTCTAAACCCAAACTGGAAATTTGACAAGATGTTATATTTCTCAAGATATCTCAACAGTCTCTTATTCAAAAGTTTTTCAATAATTTTGGAAATAGCAGTTAATACTGAAATTGGCCTATAATTGTTGACGTCGCTTCTATCTCCGTTCTTGTAAACTGGTGTAATTAAAGCCTCCTTCAATTGAGGTGGAAAAATACCTTGAGAAAAGCAGAGGTTGGAGAGGTGAGTAATAACTGGGACAACCACGTCTTTTGCCCGTTTAAGAAAACTAGTTGGGATATTGTCAGATCCAGGGGCACTGTCGGATTTTAAACTCATTAAAACAGATTTAACCTCATCATCATCCGCATTCAATAGCACAAAGGAATTTAGTAGTGGAGGAGGGTTGTTGTTTATCAAATTTAAGCCATCTTTTTGAGGTATGATATCGGCCAGATTTTTACCAATATTGCCAAAATAGTCATAATTTACAGATTCTTCAGGTGTAGTTTTTAGCTTAAGTAATTTTGAATTTTCAGATTTGGAAGATTTTATGTGCGTTATGGCTGATATCGTGTTCCAAAAGGTTTTAGTATTTATTTTAGATTTATTAAGCACCTCCCTATCGTGGTCTCGTTTAAGCTTTTTAATTAGATTATTGCAAAAGTTTCGATAGCGTCTATAGGTGATTCTAAGTATGTCGTCCTCTGTATTTGAACGAAGCTTTTTCTGTAATTTATTTCTGTGTCTAATACACCTCAAAATTCCCGGTGTTATCCACGGTTTGATAACTCGATCTTTTTTAGGGATAAGTACTTTTTTGGTGTTATCTTTCAGAGACTCTATTAAATTGTTGATTAGCTTTTGAGTTACTTCCAGAGGATCACAGTTGTAGATCAATTTATTTACTTTTTTTTGCTGTCAGTGTGAGTACTGCCTTATCAAAATTTACAACTCTTTTAATTTTATTAGGTTTAGTTTTTAAATGTTGATGACCAAGGTGTAACAAAACCATGGAGTGGTCTGTGATAGTAGTGTTCAGGACTGCTACGTGGGACAGTATTTTTGACCGGTCATACTTAAGCATGACGTGATCCAAGGAACTTTTTTCTCTAGTGGGTTTATTGTGGCCCATCATTATACCGTGTGTCGCTAACATATCTAAATAACCAGCTCTGTTTTTATGTTCGTAACCTTGCTCATTTTCCCGCGGTATGATATTTATGTTTAAGTCCCCAGTCAAAACTATATTTTTGTAGGTTTTTAGAGTTTCTAAATGTGCATTCAGTGAGCTTATAAAACCCTCAGCATTCATATTTGATGGTGATCGGTAAGTACAAAGTATAATAGTATCATTTATTTTTAATTGGAGGCAAGATGCCTCTAGTATATTTATTTCATCGACACAGGTTGTGATATATTTTTTTTTTACATAAACTACAACGCCGTCACATTTATTTAAGTAACGGGTGGTATAAAATGATACATAATTTACCAATACAGGGATCGGTTTATCTTTACTGAGCCAACATTCCGTTAGCACTATTATATCTGGTTCATAATTTAATTGTGTAAGAGTGACTAGAAGATCGTTAATGTTACATAGTATACTTCGGATGTTTTGTGTCACTAATACTAAATCATTATCCTTTATTTTCAGAACATTTGCTATTTTATCAATATCACATAAGGTATTTGTAGAAAATTCGATTTCATCAACAACGTTTATACTATTTATTTGGTCATTCATTATGTTTTTTTTTGAAAATCGAGATTTCAAACATGACGGTTTCATTTGTATAAAGAAATTTTAAATTCTGGGCTTGCTTACATGAATTTTTGTATGTGTATTCGCGCAATAGTGAAAATGAGTTTGAATAATGTTTTTTGTGATTGAGAGTAAGTGTATGATGTGTTGAGTAAGTTATTGATGTGAAGTATATTTGGCTATATGTGTACACATGAAAAAGCATATTTATTATTATGTATATATGTGAACACTTTGTGTGTATTTGTAGGTATATGCATGTGTGAGTTTTTGTTTGTACATAGATTAGAGTGAATGTGTTTATATTGATATATAGATTTTTATAGCTATATTTAAGTGAATGTGGTTTGTAAAGTGTTTTGGTTGTCTGAAACCGCTTAATTACAATACATATAAAACAACATAAAATAGTAACTAACTCATACATTTGAAAAGTTAGGAGAAAAAATACATGTACTAAAGTAACAGTTTTGGTAAATAAGTGATTATACAGGTAAAGAGACAGTTTTAAATCTAAAAGTATTAATATAAAAAACTTTGAACTCCAGAGTCTCGCAATTACAATTTTAAAGTTATATATATTCGCAAAACTAACCCTATTTTTACAATAGGTAAAGACTGCAATATATAACAGGGATAGTAGTATAAGTAAGTGAGCTAAAGGTACTAGTCATTCAGCCTGCATGAGGCGCTGAATCTGAGCTTCAGATTTGATGGCTATAATTGGAGAGTTATCTTATTTCCTGACATACACTCTGCCATAGGCAGTCCAGCAGTACTTATAAGATTTTGACTTAGCCAAATCCCTAGCAAGGAAATGCAAACGCGAGCCTTTAGCGGTAAGCTGCTCGGACACAAAAATGGGTGTGTCTTCTTGTATACGGAACCCTAGATGCTTAGCACATAATTTTGACTTTGTTTTTGAGTTAAAAGCCTTACATAGTTTTAGCACATTAGTCTTAACCATGGTTGAGTTTAATTCCACTACAAGTGTCGCGTTTTTATCCGTTTTCCTACCATAGACCCGGTATATATCTTTGATATCGGACGTATTTATATTTCCACCAATAGTAGTGGACAAACTCAATACCATGTCGATTAGGTCTTCCTTAGTTTCATTATTTTTTTTAGGTAGGTTTTTAATTTCAAATTTAGATTTTCGGCAGTTCATCTGCAAACTTTCAATTCTATCTTCTAGTTTTGTAATATATTCCCAATTTTCCTTGTATTTATATTCAAGATCCACAATCCTATTAGATAGTTCTATGTTTTGAGACGTCAGTAAAGCAATCGAGTTTTCGATGTTAGCATTTGTTTGTTCGATTCTTTGCAGGGTAGGGCAAATGTTTTTAAGCTCTTGCTGTTGTGTAGTACAAAGAGAATGAAACATTTCCTTTATTTCGGTCTTGAACACCTCAAAATCGCTCATCGTTACACTCCTATAACTCCTGTCACGACTAAAAACATAATTCGGAGGGGTTGTATCAATAGTTCCTGTTTGATCATGAGTGGTTTCACCCTCACAAACGGACATATCCGCCTCTCGATTCATTGTAACAGTTTATTGTGCTTATAGTAAGTTGGAATACAATATTTGTTAAAAATGCACTGTATTTATAATGTAATAATAATATATTAAGTAATTTATTTGTAGTGCACGGTTTCTCGTATCTCAGAACCGAGCCAAAACAAATTTATTTATATGCGTTCTCTTTAATAATATGGAACCAAGGCTCAAAGTTCAACGTTTTAATTTCCAATAGCAGCGTTATCACTTGAATCGGCGCATACGCTCCCCAATCAGTGAGATAGTAAAGGATAGTTCAATAAATTTGACGTAGATCTCGTTCTCTCTCGTAGTGCAAGGCGGAGTCAGAACTCACAAAACAGCGTAGCCGCGTCAAAGTACCACAGTCGACCTCGCTTACTCACGCACGAGTATAAATGGGCGGGAATACAGCAGGCGAAAATGAGCGAGACAGGATAATGCAATATATGTCCTTCTTGCGCCTACTACAGTAGATGACGTAAACCTGTCCAATATCGACACAACGGCGGATTACTTTCACTAGCAGACAACTGCACTGTCTTCTATCTTTTTTACACGCACTCGAAGTCCGTTTCGCAGCAGAGTAGGACAGTTCACAGACACTAGCACCGCGCGGATTAAGCTTCGTAGTGATACCTCTACACTGTTATGCACTCCTATTATTATGGAAAATTATTTTGTAATTTAAATTTGTATTTATTTATTTAATAAAAACTGACACAGACCAGTGGATGCGTTCGCACTAGGTGCGGTCCGGGAGGGAAGAGCGAATATATCTATTATTTTTTACATATTTCTTTAATTTGTTCCTGTTACATCCAACAACCCCCAATTTCTTATTTCTACTGTCATTACATAATATTATCTATTGTAACAATTGGTTGGTTATTAGTTGCAACAGAAACCATCTCTGGGGCACTGACTACCAACTCATCAAACAAGCTCTGATTCAATGAGGCAGTTTTATTGTGTTTTGACATTTCTTGAAGTGATATTGTATTATTTGCGTCACGTAGTTGTTTTTCCAGCATGTGAATATGCTGCAATGCTTGGTCATACTCACTTCTACAGTGATCAAAGCCATCCACAATGAATTGGAGCCTGTCCCGAGCTTCAATAGCATCAATACACTGTTTGTGCAGTTCTGCCATTTCGCTCTTTAACTTTTCATCCCTTTTCAACCTTTATTGTCATCTCATAGAATTCATCCAATAGAATGAAGCATCAAAATTCATTTACAAAGCTCAGTGCAGCCGATAAGTAACTATAATAATTTGAACTCTAAATGTATAGACCCCAGAATCAAAGGAATAAATTATTCAGGTAATTATTTGACAACTAACCTTCTCTCCGTATTGACTTTGCCACTGGGCGTACTGCTGTTGCCATTGAGCCCACTGTTGCCAGTTCTGTTGTTGCATAGCGGTCCATTGCTCAGCAGAATAGGATCCCATACTCATATCAGGAGTCATGGGCATGCCAGTACCCCACTGGCCTGTTGTTTGCACCGGCCATGACATTGCGTCCAATTACATTAAGTGACAAACAACACATAAAAATATGAAAACTATGCGAACAACAATAGTAGGTAGTTGAAATTCACAATATATCATACACACGTCAATGAATCGTATTTTATCAGAGGTAAATTGATCTATAGATTGGCGGCCATTTTGAAATGAAGCTTGTTGGTGTGGTGTGGTGGTGGTGCGGCGTAGTGGCGCGCTGCGCAACGCAAATCTTTAGTGATGCACTTTGGTCGATAAAAATATCGAATTTATTAAGTATTGCATTCTTTCATGGGGTTTAATACCGCATCAAATCAATCACCTTTTAAGAGAAGGTTTGCACTTATTTTATAATTGTTTGTTTGTGTGCATTCCATGTTGCCATTTAATTCGAAAACGATACGACCGGACTGGTTTAGATGTGATTTTTTGTAAGAACGTATGAATTAAATGTTTCTTTTTATTGGTTATTGTTCTAACAATAGTGCTATGTTATACATATAGTATTTTGTTAACTAATGTTGCTTCCATTTGTAACCAATACTGAACTGTTAGAAAAAGCAGTAGATGGTTGGAAAGAGCTATAAGAAAAATCAGTAAATGCAGATGCTTACTTTTTCCGATTTGAGGTTGCAAATTGGTAAATCAAATCAAGGTATAGGCCAGCAACGAATGTGTTTCTGTGACTTCTGTCGCCCCTCAAAGCTCTTTTTTTTATACAATAACATGCTTATTGCATTATAATTAAGGTTACCTACATTCTTAATGGCGGAAAGCGCAACTCAACATGCAATTTAAAAAATAAAATCGTTTTCTAAATATTATTATTCTAATAGTAGATTCATGTATAAAAACAAGAGAAATTTCAGAAAAACGGGAGACCTGGCAGCCCTGTGTTCGATTGACCGACTCACCTATTTGTTGAAGGAGATGGCAAACCAAGCTAGTGCAACTGCATGGTGATGGTGTTTGTCGTTGATTGAACTTTGACGTGACATTAGATGATTACTTAATTTGTTTACTTCTATCATGTCAGTGAAAATCTTTTATTGTGAAATGTTGTGTAAATCATTTTCAGCATTTCAACTATATCTAAATCTTCAAATCTAAAAGCCTTGTTATTTGTGATGATTTAAAGTTACAACCACACTAGAGTTAAAAGTTACCGAAAGTTTCGGTAAGAAAAGAAAGTTTTGAGGTCACTTAAGGTAAGTTTCGTGAATCTTACCAAAATTAGGTAATTTAAGTAACTTTCAAAAATGATGATTTTACTTACAAATGTGCAGCTATTTTTACCGCTTTTGTCTTCTTTATATTACTCCGAGAGCGAATAGGGAGGGATGCAACCGCTGCACTGCAGGGAGAAGGATGGAAAGATAACTTACGTTACGAAGGCAACGAACATAATTTGCGTTTTGGAATGCTTTTTAAAAAATAAAGCATTCCAAAACGTAAGATTTTCAAAACGAACGTATAGGTATTTATACTACAGAATTATTTGAAAACAAGTAAGGTACATAGAAATAAGTACGTTTCTGAGTGGTCTTATATTTTTATAGGTTTCTTTTTTTTGTATAAGTATTCAACGTTAGTTTGAGTAAAAAAAATATTTTTGAAAACTTCCATAATTGTAAATTTCAGGGAACTTTCGCAAAACTTATCATCGAAAAGGAAATTTACGAGGTTTTCAATACAAGCCAAGCCACACTCAATGGAGAAGTATACGCAAAGCTCGACATAGATGGCGCTGCAAACGCTTGACCCAAACCACAGCCAAATATTGTCGCTGTCAAACTTTAAACGTGTTTTTTTGTTGTTAAAAATATTAAATAAGTGGTGAAAATGTATTCATCATGGTCGGTAATACAGCTGAAAACAGAGTTGAAAAGAAGAGGAGCATCTGTGCAAGACAGAAAAGCTGATCTAGTAGAAAGGTACTCTTTCTATTATTATGCTAGAATGCTTATTCTCGGTACATTGATGCATTTTCCATGATTATTTTAATAGTTCATGAATCTGAGTAACTTTAAGCGGGCTCAGTAGTCAAATCTATCTTATTTTTGCATCAGTCAGGCATCTCATAGAGTTAGGTTACCTCTGGCTAAAGTGGAGGAGAGTATAACATTGGGTTTTTTTACAGACTTGAGGCATATGACTTCAATTTTAATTTTGGTGTTTTGTCGCAATTTCAGTTTTTTCTGATCAAAATGAAGACATCTAGATGCAATTACCTGCCCCAGATACATATAATGATCTCAGTTTTAACCCCCCCCCCCCCCCCTTAAAAGCAACATATAAAGTTATATTTTAGTTTTCTCACAACAACCAGGAACTGCTCGGCATTTGTATGTTGTTCAATAAAAAGCTTAAAAATGAATATAAGCTCATAGGTATGTATTTGATCGAAGTTTTGGGTCAAGCGATGACAGCGCCCCTAGTAGCCAAATTTTGCAGAATTCTTGACCATTAATTAAAAGTAGTGTCCGACCGAAACTGGTTTTCCGGCCGAAACCGAAACCGAAACCGAACATTCGGCCGTGGCTTCAGTTTCGGCCGAAACCGAAACCGAAACCGAAACTCACGTGGTCAAGTATAAAATTCCTTAAAATACTGAAATTTGGTCCATTTTACCGATTATTCTGCATTAATTAGGGCTTGAATTGGAAACACAGTATTTTTTTAATTTTGTTCTTATCAGTTATTTAATATAATATAAAAAAATATTAAAAAAAATACAAATAAAGTTCTCATAGCAAAAGGAGATTGCTCAGCTTCCATACATAATGTTGTGTTGTAATGTTAATGTCATGTTTGGCCTAAAGACCAATAATCATGAAAAATTGTTTCCTAGATTCGAAATTATATATAAATTACTGTAAAAACTAATATTATTGACGGACGCCCCTGAGAACTTCTATAAACCATATACACTGAACATATTAAAATAATAAAAAACAAATAAGTTATATAGTAAACTAGGGAAATAAAGCCAAGTACCGAAATTATGGATTAGATTCAGGTATATAGAGCATGTAGATTAACAGATGGTTGCCTGTTTTTAACGTTAATGCATAAGAGTAACTTTTCAAATCAGGTGTCATATATGCATTTCCGATTATAATAAGGTACTCTATAACAGAAACTGTGTGATGATTGTGAATGAGCCACAGATTAGAGAGAATTTTTCAACTCTCGTTAACCAAAGAAAGCTAAGAGGTTTAGGTTATATAGCCATATATTCAGTAGCTTCATTTTTTTGTGATTGTGTGTGTGATTTTTAGTGTATCACACCTTATAATTTTATTTATTTATAGTCAGGCAACGTAGGCTCATAGATACCTTAAAGTCTAAACAGACTATAATGTGTTTATGGAGGTGTTTGGCGAAAAATGTATGGCAATAGACTTTATGATGTCGTACCATCTAAACCAATAATTGTCTGAGCACATTTGCATGTAGTGAAAATGATAATATAGATGTGGATATTAATACCACAGTGTAATAAAAAAAATATTTATTTTATCGATCTTTACAAAATAGATTTGTTTTTATGTTATATGAACAACTTCGATCAGTCTTTGGCTGAATGTTACTACATCCATAGCCATTAAAAATGATTCATATGTTTTCCAAACCGGTAAAATGAAAAGTCCTTTTTAAAGTGAATATATTATACAAAGGTGTCCGTTAAAATCTAATGACTGTAAATTAAATTACAAATTACGCCAAGAATTACCGTGTATGTCAATATTTTTTGTGCATTTGGGCCAATTTGAGCAATCTCCTTTTTATCAGCTTTATCAATAATCAAATCACTAATTTTTACTGTTTCATTAAATACTAAGTATTGGTATTCCGAAATCTTATTAACCGCCAATGCGTTGCCGCGAGAAACGAAGTTAGGCGAGCCTGCACGACAACTTCCGTAATCAGTTTCGGTTTCGGCAAAAGTTTCGGCCAATTTTGGCCGAAACCGAAACTGCCGCCGAAACTTGATTTTTGGCCGAAACTCGGCCGAAACCGAAACCGAAACCGAACCTTCGGTCGGACACTAATTAAAAGTCTACTCGATTTCCCAGATTACGATCCATAACTACACTCCGATTATGGTTTTTTGATGGAACTGCGTAATTAACATATTTTGTAAGATTTACGTACAAGAAGTGTATCAAAATAATTATTAAATATATAAGTACGATACCATAATATTATTATCGTCACCTAAATGTTTTTGTTTATACTGGATTGTCAATTTTATCAAAACCTTGTTCTGTAGTGAGGCTATGGCGAGTGTCTGACTTTGAATAACTTCTCCAACTTAAAATGGATTCTAATTTCAATAAAAATATAAACAAATGAGCATTGTTTCGAATTTCACAAATCACAATGTAACAATAGATAGGTACCTACCTATTACCGGAATAGCGAGACACGTGAATCAACAGTGAAACGTAATGATGAATTTTATTTAAAATTAAATTTGTCTTTACTGTAATTAAGTTCAGATTTACATAATTAGGCACACATTACAGTACGAACAGCTATAGCTTTTCGAGACTGGTACGATAAATACATAAATAGTTAAGAGTCAGAGTAAAAGTCTGAGAAAAATAAAGGTTGTTCTAGTAGATTCGAAAAAAAGCCAAACCACGACGTTTGAAAGCGGCACACAGATCTATAGTCAAGAAGATCGGAGAAAAGTGGAAAAGCGGTACGATCTGGCAATACTGGTGTCACGTACCCAACGGCGCATCAAACCAACTTTGTGCTTAAACTAGATTTGTAAATCTACCGTAGTCTACCAAATCGTGAGGTAGGTAGACTACCCGTAGGGCACTACGGTTGCTGCCATTTATTATTTGTGTTAAATAAGCTAAGAGAGCTTCAGAAATAATTTTAGAGAAAAAAAAAACCTAAATTTGTCCAGACGCGCTTTTTATTTTTTTTCTCCGTTAAAAGCATTGCACCGACTACTAAAGTGACTTTTGTGCGCTTGTAATGCACCGGTGGCATGGTAGGGTAGGGAAGAACAATACGCGCGAGGCTCACCAAAGTACACAAGCGACTGGACTGCAACTCGGCGCTCGTGCAGTGTGTGGGCAATGACGGATTTGTCCACAAATGGGTACGGCTCGGAGTTCGGCTCTCGGTGCGTGTAGTGAATGGTGGGCTTAATGCGATAATAGGTCATCGACAAGAAAAGGTTGATAACAAGAAAATACAAAT